AGGCGGCTGGAGACGAAAGAAACGAGGTGACAGAAGTCAAGGAAGAACACGAGGAAAACGAAGAGGACGCGGGCGCTTCCGGTGACGAGAGCCCGCCCTCCAGGGGCGCCGGCAGCCGCAGGTGCCGCCCCACCCACGTCAGCAGCTGCGGATCCGTCCAGCACGCCCACCCTCCGTCGAAAAAACGATACAAAAACGGCCCCACCCCCCGCAGGCTGGCGTGGGCGGCCACCCCCATCATCTCCGCGAGAACCCCCCCCTCTGGGAGGTCCGACAGGAGATGCAGCAGCGCGGCGAGGAAGGAGGAGCCGCCCTCGACCAGAGCGGCACGCGCCGCCGCGCGAAGCGCCGCGTCAAGCGTCCCCTTGGAGGGGGTTTCACGCGACTCGACCTCCCCTTTGCCCTCCGCCATGTCCGCCTTTCCTTCCTTGCCCTCTTCCCCCTCCTTGCTCTGCTCTTTTGCGGCCCTCACATAGACGCTCAGAGCGTGAATGATGCGCACCCCGGCATGAACCGCACTCCCAAGGAGGCGCAAGGAGGAAGGGGAAGCAGACGGGGAGAGGGGCATTCGATACTCCTGGAGGATCCCCGCGATCACCCCAAAGGTGGTGGTGCAGCCCTCCTGGAAGATCGAAATCGCGCCTGCCTCCCGCCAGAGCGGTCGACCCCCCGGCCGCGTTGAATCCGCCGCCTTGCGGGAGAGAAAAGTCGATTCGTACCACCACGCGACCTCCTCCAGCGCATTCACGACCCCACCGATGCGCGTTGCGGTCGTTTCTTCTGAACGGCATCCCCCCCGCCGTCGTGGGATGCGAATGCAACAAAAAGAACGCCGCGGCGAGGGCGCTTCAGAGGCGGCGACGCGCACGCATCGCCGCGCGAGCTCCTCCAAGGTGAGGCCCCGGGTGGAAGTCGCGCCGGGAACGCAGCCCGTGAAGAGCTCCGAAAGGTAGTTCTGAAGGTCCAGGCGTCGGAGCAGGGCATCCGAGTCCATCAAATACCGCGCCTAAAGGGAGGAAGAAGCGCAATGAAAACTAACGTGTGTGTGTGTGTGTGTGGAGGGGGGGAGGAGGGGGGAACAATAAGTCAAGAGAAACGACGAAGATCTCTCCGGTATGAATACTTGTGTGGCTTACGAAGGGCATACAAGGGGGAAATTCAAGGAATTAGTTTATCATAATGTCAATAATAAGATACTACGTCGAAGAGAACCACTCCTCAGCAAACTGGTGCACGAAAACTTCAGCACGATTATTTCTTATGTTCTAAAAGAACACCATTTTGATGTAAGCCTTATAAGGGACATCTTATGTGTTTACAATCAATGAGGGATATATAAGCTTCCCCTCTGTATCAGCATAAGCATTACCACACAAACCAAACGTAATGAGTAAATAGGCAAATCGTATGAATTTAAGATCCCCCAAAAATGAAAAACAGTCCCCAGGGAAGTCTTATTAACGAAACGCCAATCTCACCGGGGAAAATGGCTTCGAACACGTCACACTAAAGGATAGGAGGTAAATGTCGAATCGTTATCTACATACTAATTCACTAAAACGCCTTCCTGCCTTCCTGCGTTCTCCCCCTTCCTCAGCTCTCCTTCTCGATTCAATCGGCGGCAACAACACTGGAGGCGGAGCTGACGCGCAACGCGCCCATCTCCCGCTGCTGCTGTTGCGCCATTACGGTTTGGTTGTAATACATCGTCTGCAACGCTATGCGCTGCTCCACCGTGAACTGCGTGAGCGTCTCCTTCAACGCGGCGTAGCTCTCCTGCGCCGCGGAGACGTTCGCATACGCCACCTTCAGCCGTTTCCCGCCAATCTGAAAACGATTTAGACAGTGAATCGCGTATGTCGCGGAGAAGAAGAATCGAAATCGCACGAAGCCGTAGCCCCGACTCTCGTGCGTATCGCGGTCGTAGATCACCTTAATCGATTCAATAGGGCCGAACTGAGAAAATAGCTGGAATAGCTGCGCCTCGTCCATGAGAGGGGGTAAGTAGTTCACGATTAAATTGCAAAGCGCTTCGGGATCGGAATTCACGCTGTTCGCATCGACAATCCCCGGCTGTGGCGAGTACGCGGGAGGCGTTGAAGTGACGCTGGACGTAGCGTTCATTGGCGCCTTGAGCGGGAGAAGGGCGATGGGGCTTTGCTAAATCGAAAACGAATCTGAATTCGGGTCGTTCTTTAATATCAAACAATTATATAAGTGGGTGAGAATCAAAGAAGTCGATTTGACTAACCGTTCTAAGCTAGTAAGAAAAGGAAAAGGGTAAATAAATTCAAGGAAAATGGACATAGAAGCACCCACGATAAAGAGAAAGAAGGAGAAGGGGGGAATTAGCGAGAAACCGATGGGGGGCATGAAAAATAATAGAGACCCCTGAGACAAACAATTCAAAACAAAGGGGCATAGAAATTTTCCAATGCAAAACGGTGGAAAAAAATCTGTCTTCCCCATCTTGGACTGCATCGAACAAAGCGGTGCGAAAGGCATGCACCTGCTACATCATTCCATTCCCGACTTTGCCTTGTGCAGCTACCCACGGAATGCATCCTTATCAAATCCGTTCAAGGATATCGATATCGATGCGTGCGCATATATATATATATATATCTACATGCATACCAAAGGGAAAAAGGAATAGCTCGTTCAGCCCTTGAGCACTACACTAAATTATGGAATCTTCGTCTTGGTTAAATGTCCGTGCCTGCCCCTCCCAATAATATCAGATGCAAAGATCGATAGATAAATGAATAGATGGGTGGAGGAGTGGATAGGATCATGGGATGGTTTACCCATTCGCGCCCCTACACTTCGAGGAGATTCAAGCCTTCCAACCCCATCAAACGACGAAAAATGTCGTTCTTGCCGACCTCCTCGAAGATGCCCTCGATAGCGACGTCACCGTTGTGTAAGACGACGATGTGATCCGCCCTTCGAACCGTGCTTAACCGGTTCGCGAAGATCAGAACGGTGCGCTGGCGGTTACTACCGGATTTATTCGACTCCTGAATGAGCTTCGCGATGGTTTCGTGCACCACCGCCTCGCTCTCGCTATCCAGCATAGAGGTGGCCTCGTCTAAGATCAGAATACGCGGGTCGCTCACCAGCGCGCGCGCGATCGCGATCCGCTGCCGCTCGCCAGCGGATAAGCTACGGCCGTGCTCGCCGACGACGGTGTCGTAGCCCTCCGGCAGCGCGGCGATGAAATCGTGCGCGTGCGCCTTAGTTGCGGCGTCGACGACGATGGCGTGGAGCCAGCGATCGATCGGCGCCTCCCAGTCGTGGGAGCGAAAGCCGTACGCGATGTTCTGCGCGATACTCCCATCCAAAAGCTCGGCGTCCGGCCCGACGTAGCCAATCTGCCCGCGCAACCAGTCCTCGTCGAGGTCGGCGAGGTTATTCCCGCCAAGGGTGATCCGGCCGCTGGTGGGCTCCAACAGCCGCAGCAGCAGCAGCGCCAGCGATGACGCCCCCGAGTCGCGCTCCCTCCCCCCCACCACGCAGGTGCATCGCGACGGGGGAATCGTCAAGTCGAGATGGCGATACCCCATCGCCGAGGGCCTCTCCAGGGAGGCGAGGGCGACGCCGTCGAAGCGGAGCGTCCAATCGGGGAGCGACAGAGGAGGAGGGGGGCGCCCTGCCGCTGCCGCCTCGTGCCGCTCCGCCGCCTCGAGGATCTCGAACACGCCGAGCGCGGCGCCGTAGCCGCGGTTGAGGTCGACGACGACGTTCGAGAGCCCGAGGAGCCCCGTCCCCGCGTAGAGGGCGTAGAGCACGAAGGCGAGCAGCCCCCCGGGC